TTATATCAAACACTCAGAGCTGGTAATTCATCCTGTAAGATTGAAATCTGTTTTCCATGGACAGAGATCACAGCCAGTGTCTCTGGGGGCTCTGAACAGGGGGGTTCCTGAGCCCTGCCAGGGTCCCAGGGCAGCCAGAGGGAAGCCCTGGGTTCCCACAGGTGCCCAGCACAGCAGCAGGATCCAGGCTGGGTTTGCATCCTGCAGCTCCAGAGCAGCCCCAGTGCCTGGAAGCCATGGCCGGGGGCACTGTGGCTCTTCTCTTGGGGTAGGGATGTGTCACCTCCCTGTCCCCTCGCTGTGGGACAGGCTCTCCACTGCCAGGGCTTCATCAGCACCCAGGCCTGACTTGAATTTGTGTGGCAAAAGCCTGTTCCTGCTAATAATGCCGTGGCTGATGGGTCCATCTGAGCACGGGCAGCAGGAGGGCACTGGGGGGTGGCACATTGTCACCTGCCCGGGGCTTGGTGCTCTTACCTCTTGTTGGAAATGGAGGATGAAATTCAAGAAGGAACTCTATTTGGAAACTTGTCTATGGGCCTGCTGCTGGCAAAGGGCAGCCTTGTGGAAATCCCCAATGTTCCCTGGAGCAAAGGAGGCTCAAGGGAGACCCTGTGGCTCTGCACAGCTCCTGCCAGGAGGGGACAGCCGGGGGGTCGGGCCCTGCTCCAGGAACAGGGACAGGTTTGGGTTGGATATTAGGGGAAATTTCTTCCCCCAAAGGGTTCTCCAGCCCTGACACAGCTGCCCAGGGCAGTGGTGGGGTTTAAAAGCTCTGTGGATGTGGCACTTGGGGACATGGTGGCCTTGGCAGTGCTGGGGAATGGCTGGGCTTGGCCTCAGAGGGATTTTCCGACCTGAATGATTCCAGGACTCCTCGCAGGGTCCAGCAGCTGTGAGAGGCATCCTGACAGAACTCACCTGCTTCCTCTTCCTCCCCTGCTTTCAGCAGGAGCCGTGGATTCCCTGCTCCTAGTTGGACAAGAAACTTCTTAGAAACAAATAAACAACAACAAAAAAATATTCCACATTCTGCCCCCAGCATTTCCCGTGCCAGAGTAGCAGAGGGAGGCTGAGAAACCCGTTTCCCACACATCACATCCTGGTTTTTACCCGCTATCTATTCCATGTTTTCCTCCTTACACAGATTCCAAACCCATCCCTGGGGAATGCACTGAATGTGCTCAAGCTGCAGATGATAAGCAAACACCAAGTTGCTATAATCAATCCCCTTGATGAGCTATTTACCATGTGACATTACCAAAATATTTCTGGTTGGGAACGATGTTTCTCTTCCTCTGTTTTCCAAACCCCTCGTAGCCCTGAAAATCCAAGTCCCAGGACTCCAGGCATGAACTTTTTCTCTCTTAACCTATATTTATACTGTAAAAATCTGATTTACCTACAGAAGAAGCTTGTTTACTGACAGAAGACACATGTTCCTTCTGCTGCTTGCCACAGCTTAGCACATTAAAGTCTGTAATTCAGGAAGGAATGGAGAGTGAATTATACCTGGAACTCATTACAGCCACCAAGAAATTCAGCAGTGCTGAAAATAGAATTCTAATCTCAGATCTCAGAGGCGAAGGAATTAAGATCTTGTCCTTCCATCAAGACAGACTCTTGGGCTGACCTTCACTTCAGCCACACAACCCCAGAAAATGTCCTGAGGTTCTCAGGATGCTCCATGGGGGTGGGAAGGATCAGCGATGTCATCTGAGGAATCTTGAGAAGTGGTTCCCACCTTATCTCAGGTGTCTTATCTCAGGAATTTCAGATACCCCCAGGTCTCTTTGAGGAAGTGAGAAGGGGTCAGCTGTCAAAACACCCTCAAGTTTCTGGAGTTTCCTTCAGCCAGGGGATCAGATACCTCAGGCTGCACGACCTAAACCTGGGAATGCTTTTTTGGATGAGGGAGTGTTGCCTGGGTAGCTCTAACATCAAGAAATAGGGGGTTTTATGGACATGCAAATTCAGGGGGAAAACATCCATCCCTGCCTGTGTTTTCCAGGGAATTGAAATGAATTAAGAAAACAGACTTAAGTGTCTGAAATCACCTTTAATGTAAGAAACGTAACCCTGGGCACATACTGAAGATGATATTTGAATGTGTCATTTCTAGAGTGTTTTTTTAAGACTTTTATCACAGGAAGTGACTAGCCCTGGGCTAACTGGAGTTGTCAGGTAAACACCCTGAAAGGAGAGAAGACACAGGAGAACGAGGACGGGGTGCTGACAGGGATGTGGTGCAAGGGACCACGTCCTAGTCCACATGGACAGGCCAGAGGTGAGGGTGGCTCGATGGAGGGAGAAGCTGAGTGTGCTGAAGGAACATCAGGAGCGCCTGAGCTGGGATGCACTCGCCTCCAGCAGAGCTCCCCGGGTGAAGAGCACACCCAGGGCAGTGTCCTGGCCTCCCAAAGGACCCAGCCAGGTTCTGAGGGGTCAGGAGGCCCTTTGAGGTCACAGGAGCTCACGACCCATCACCCTGGAGAGCAGCAGTGAAGTCCCCCCACCACCCACGGGCAGTCTGGGTGGTTTCCCACCCCCAGAGCCGTCCCAGTGCCCAGGGCTGGGATGGGGAGCGGGCAGGAGCCCCCAGCCCATCCTCCTGCTGCCCCGGGGCAAGGGCTGCACGAGCAGCTCCAGCAGCCCACACGCAGCCTGGCTCCTGTTTGCAGCTCCGGGCCGTGGGGATCAGCAGGATGCAGGCACAGAGCACCGTCCCTGCCCAGCAGGCTGGAGGCTGTCCCTCGCCGTGTCGCTCAGGATCTGGATGGATTTCAGTGAGGAATGTGGAACTTATCAACTGCAACAGAGCCTGATCTCTCCACAAGCAGAAACAAGATGCACAGAAGATGTGGATTGTGCAAACTTTTGTGTTTCACCACGGAAGATCATGGACTTTGGGTTTTTGTTTTTTTCATAAGTGTGTTTTTAATGGTGTTATAGAATTTAATTACTAACTTCTAATGGGTTTTAGTAATGCCTGTGATTCTTCTGTTCATTTTGTTTTTCAATGGCAAAAGAAAAAGAAGGAATTGTTGCAGCATTTCTAAGAGAGAGAGGTCATGATTTATGTTTGGAATGAGATTTGAGTAGCCCTCCCCGTGGCCAGGAGATGGTACTGTTGGCCTGGCCCTGCTTCTGCTGGGGCTCGGAGCCTCAGAGCCTTTTCCAGCGAGGTCAGGAAGGTGTTCCTGGATGCTCCCACAGCTCTGGGATTCCATCCCGAACCTGCTGCGGCTGCCCCACCCTGGAG